AAGCACTGAAAACAGCATCTGGTGCATAGTAAATGCTACGTTGGGTCAATGTGTCCAGATTCTGAGTCTCAGTCTTGGCTCTTCCCTCTGCACATATGACCCTCATTGGCTCTATTGTAACTGCTTCTGTGTCTCCACCCAATTGCCAGGGACCCTGATCTCTCCCTATTCCAAAACAGCAAAGTGCAAAACCCTTTCAGTTATCAGCGGGGGTTCTCTCCTCTCTAGGCCCACCAGCCTTGGAGCCCAGAAGCCTTCGGGGTGACTCTCACGCCTCTCTGCATTCCCCCAACCCTGCCCTTGCTGTCATCTGCTGTACCACGTGCACACTAGGAGGGATCCAGAAGAGAAGGCTGGTTGCCAGGGCAACGGAGGATAAAGCCCTTGCTCTGCCAGGCTGCTGATTGGCTGAGACTGGTCCCACCTCCTGCCATCCTGAGAGTGGGGGGTAGGGGGAAGGGTCTCCGATGGACAGGGAGAAGTACCAGGATGCTGAGCCAGCCCGGGACTTGCCCCCTCCTGGCCCACTCAGAGTCCTTGGGCTTCAGAAGCTCCATCTCCGGTGGGGGGCATTGGCCTCGCCCTAGCTCTGCCTCCAGCACCCAGGGTGGCTGCAGATGGCAGTGTCTCTGGGGACAGCAGCTGCGACTGAGTCCTGGGCCGACGCTGAGCTGTTCAGGCTGAGGCAGTGTGCTCAGTGCAGAGCCCCCAGAACAGGCTTCTGCAGGGCATGAGGTGGGTCTGCGGGCACGCGGGGGGCACCGAGTGGTGCCAGTGGCTTGGGAGCTGGGAGACGGGCTCTGCAACTCTTGCACTGTCCTGGCCAGGGCTTTGGTTGAAACAGGGCTGGAAAATTCCTTGTAGATTATCTGTTAACCCACATCCCCATCCTATCACTGTGCACAAGGGACCCTGAGGCCCAGAGAGGGTGAGAAATGGTCCAAGGTCACACAGAAGGCCAGTGAATGTTTTGCTTCTCCACCTAGGCCAGTCCCCTGAGAAGCCAGGAAAAGGTCTGGATGTCCTCAGTCTATTCCAGAATGCCTGGGATTTTGTTCACAGAGCTGGAGAGGTTGGGGGATCCTGAACCTTACTCAACAGATCCACAGCATTGCAGCTGAAGTGGCTTCTGTTCTGTCCCAGACCTCCCATTCTCATGTTTAAACTGGAAGGAAACTGAGGTCCTGGCTGGGACTGGGGAGGGAGCATGAATGGCTTTCTCCTCAGTCAAGCCTGTTTGCAACAGCTTTCCTGCCTGGGGGCACACTTCCCCACCTCCCACCAACCCTGGCAGCACCAGGCAACTCTGAACTTTCTCTTTGGCTCTCTGGAAGGGCAGATGGTTAGGAGTGCACTGGGTCCTACATGCTCCCCCTGCCCACGCTGTGCTGGCCCTGACTTTGGACAATTAGTGCACTCTATTTCACTCGTCCATGAATAGGGCACCTTGAGATGTTGTCTGTGCTTCAGAACAGCCAATGGGGACTCTGGGGAGCGGGGGAGGAGCTCCAGACTGATGTTGGACTGGGCAGCAGCCTCTCTGCCTCCATCAGGGTCACAGCCCACCTCACAGACCCACCTGGGAGTAGGGGGACAAGAGGAGCTAGAGAGCTCAGAGGAGCTGGTGCTTTTCTTCAACCTGCCCTGGAGATCATTCCATCCATACCGCTGCTTTCCTCCCCAGAAGCCAAGATGGGCTTCTGCTCATTTCATCCTGCGCAGGTATCTTTCCCTGCCCAGGAGGATTCAAGCCTCAGGATATCTCTGGGGTTTGGGGTCTAGGTCTGCCATTTTCCAGGTGGTTAACCCAGGGCAAGTTAGTGAGCCTGTCTGGGCCTCAGTTTCTTCATCTGTAAAATGTGGACAGTGACACCTACCCCATAGACCTGTTGTGAGGTTTGCGAAAGTGCCCTAGTGGTGCTTTCCCTGCCAGGCAGGCAGATGTGGACTCCTCACCCCACCCCTTTCTTGCACCTAGGGAAGGTTTGGGGGTGGGTTTAAAATGGGCCCCGCATCTTCCCATTCCTGGAGGAGATGATCTGTGCTCCAGCCTTTGAAGTACAAGCAGGAGTTTGCCAAAAGAACAAAAATGCAAAGAACATTCCAGGGAAAACGAAAGCTTATGTGAAGATGGGGACTGCATAACATGCAGGTGCACACAGGTGACTGACAAGCAGTTCCATACGACGGCACATAGGGTGGGACATGAGGCTGGGGAGGTTGGCAGGGAGCAGATGGGGGCATCTTTGGGCCATTCTAAGGAGTTGGGTGCATGTACCATTTGTGAAACACCTAACACCTGCTGCCTTTCCTGCTTTCTCCACCTCTGGTTCACTGGAAATAACAATAGCTAGTATTTATTGAGTGCTGATTCTGTGCCAGGCAGCGTGGTGGGAAATGCTCTTTAGGTTTTGTCTTATTAAAACTTCACAGTGTCCTTAGGAACTAGGTTCTAGTTCTTGTTTGTTTTGTTTTGTTTTTTAGCAGCTGGCCAGTATAGGGATCCGAAGAGGGTTCTGTTTCTATCCCCATCTTACAGACAAGGAAACTGAGGCTCAGAGAATAAGAACAAACTTACTATGTAGCACTTATTATGTGCCAGGCACTGGTTACGAGCATTTTACATAAATTAACTTATTTAGCAGTCACAAAGCCCTATGACCTAGGTGCTGTTATCATCATTCCCAATTTATAAATGTAGAAACCAAGACTCTAAGTATCTTGCCCAAGTTTTTTGGTGCCAGCATCCATGGCCTTGTAATTACAAAATTGGGCCTGTGTGGACTCTGTTGATATCAACCAGGTTCCCTGGGGATAGGTGTTTGTTCACTGCACTTTCAGCAAAATACACCTGGCCAGGGCTGCAGGTGGCTGGGGACCCACCCATTTGTGTGTGTGTGTGGGGGGGGGGCTGGCAAACAGCAGCCATTGCAACTATGCAGCCAGGGCTCACCGAGTGGCTCAAGGGTGCAGGGGGACTAGAGGAGGCATTGCCCAACCTGTTCTTTACCGAGTGCTCTGCACAGGCTCCATCCAGGGATTTGTCACCTCACTGAATCCTCACTAGGACCTCTGTGGAAAGCGTATTAGTTTGCTCTTCCATGGGGGGTGGGGGGTAGGCTGAGGCCCAGAGAGGTTAGGCTACTTGCTCCAGGACACACATGCTGGAAAGGGTCTGGGCCAGAGTGGCTCTTGGCTATAAACCACCTTCTTAAATGGTGAGGAGGAGCTGGGCGTCCCCGTGTGGTGGGTGGGGACAGCTCTGTGCTTGGTCAGAAGGCCTGGGCTGCTGAATCACCATGTGGTCTTGATCAGGCACTGTCCCCAATGTCCACAGCCTCAGTTTCCCCATCTGTAAAGTGATGCTTGGGCCTTTTGGCTCTGTGAAGCCTGTGGGTCTCCCTCTGGGTGGGCGGGACAAGGGGCACCTCCGCCGCCCCTCACGCCCGTGTCTCGGCAGCCAAGGCCCCCGCGATGCCGCACTTCCTGGACTGGTTCGTACCTGTCTACCTGGTCATCTCGGTCCTCATCCTGGTGGGCTTCGGCGCCTGCATCTACTACTTCGAGCCGGGCCTGCAGGAGGCGCACAAGTGGCGCATGCAGCGCCCCCTGGTGGACCGTGACCTCCGCAAGACTCTGATGGTGCGCGACAACCTGGCCTTCGGCGGCCCGGAGGTCTGAGCCAATGCGCGGGGGAGGCAGGCGCCGACAACAGGCGCCCTCCCCTGTCCGCCCAGCCTGGAGACCCTCGAGGGAGAGGGAGGCAATCCCTCAGTCCTCCAGGCCATCCCTCTGCAGCCCAGGACTCCCAGCAGAGGCCCCTGGTGCTCTGGGAGGACCCTGGTGTGGAGGTGGGCTCCTAGGGGCCTTGACTATCGCTGCTGCTGCTGGCCCGGGGCTTGCTCTGCACGTCAGGCCAGCTCACCCCACACCCACCCTCTCCAGCTCAAGGGACAGCCCCCTGCAGTGGCCCCAATGCCTTTTTGCCACCCAGCACTCTGCCCCTCCATTTGGAGTCAAGTATGGCCGCCCCTGCCTGTTTGTATCCCTCATTTCCTTACTGATTCCCCAGTTACACTCTGCTCCCCACTCCACCCAGTGGCACTGGCCCTGCAGCTTCACAGTTGACCCAAGGAAAGGACCTCATTTGGAGGAATGTCAGCTGGTCCAGACCAGCCCCACCCCTCTTTGCTCAGGCTTGGAATGGGTGAGGGTATGTGGTGAGGGGTGTGTAGAGGGGTAAGACTGTAGAGAAGGGGAAGAGGGGGTAGGAGAGTCTGAGGGGAGGGGGCTGGCATGGGGAGGGGAGGAGATGCATGAGAGAGAGAGGCAGGGCAGGAGGGGCTGGAGATGGGGTGAGCTCGTGGGCCATGGCAGGACTGTCCACGGCAGGTCCCAGCCCCCTCCCTCTGCTGGACTTCCCTATCCCTTCCCTGTCCTCAAGACTGAGGTGGCTGGCAGGGGCCCCTGCTCTCTCTCCCTGTCCTGTGCTGCACTTCCAGGGCTGACACCCCCCGCCCCCTCCCTCGCAGCCAGGCCTACCCAGACGTTCAAGCCCACCCTGGGGCCCTTCTCCTGTGGAGCCTCCATTGCCTCACTTTGGATGCAGATTGGCAACATGCACCAACCACTCTCCTCTGGGGCTTCTATCTTAACTTATTCACAATAATAAAGACTTCATGGCTATCTTTGCAGGACTGTCTCCTTTCCTGAAAGTAGGCTTGTGTGTATCAACTCACTGGGTCCTCATGAAAAATATGATAGTTGGGGGATGGGGAACACCCTGAGAAGGTAGAGCAGGGTTTCTCAATAGCAGCGTCAGTGGTTGTGGGGGGCTGTCCTGTGCTGTGCAGGATGTTTAGCATCCTTGGTCTCTACTCACTAGAAACCAGTGGCACTCACCCCCTCTTCTTCCGGGACAACCAAAAATGTTAACTGGCAACCCTGGGGAAGAGTAGCAGTTAGGATATAAATTCAGGCACCAAGATGCAAAACAACAGGGCCTTAAGCCAAATAGAATTTTACTCCTTTCTCATGCTGCAGTCCACAGGGCAGTTGTCCAGAGCTGTTTTGGTGGCTGGTTCCCTGCAGTGTTCCGGCACCCAGGCTGCTTCTCTCTTGTTGCTTCACCACTTCTGGGATGTTGCTCCGGTTGGCATGATCCCAGATGGCTCATATGCATCCTGAGCAGCAGAGTGGAAGGAGGGTGGAAGGGACACTCCGATGGTTGTACCCATTACTTCCCCACCAGTCAGTACTTAGTCACATGGCACCCCTAACTGCAAGGGAGGCTGGGTAATACAGCCTTTAGCTGGGTGGCCATATATCCATTTAAAAAGCCCACTTCCTTTAAAGGGGGACAAAAAAACGACAGCTACCATTTCATTTTAGTGGGGATTCGCCTGAGGTCACAGTGCAATGGACTGAGATTTGGGCCATATCTCCTGACGCCAGGCCAGAGCTTGCTCTTCACATGCCCCGTCTTGGGAGTCAGAGAGGGGCTGGGCTGCTCTCCCTCCATGGGGCTGGGGCAAACCATGAGTAACTGCATGAGCTGTTTTGTAGAGCTAGGCTAGGGTAAGGCCAGAGAGGTGCCTCAGGGTCACATTCAAGCTTCTCCTTAAATTCTGTGCCCTAGGGCCTCCCTGGCCTCACCCTAAGCCTGGCTCTCACCACCCTAACCTCTCACCCAGCAAAAATTTTGCAGCTCTCAGAGATTTCCCACACCCCTTCCCACAGCAGGCAGCTGCCTAGCCAGATTCATCTTCTCACTACCACCCAGGACTCTTCCAGGCACACGTGGCGGAGACCAAACTGAAAACAGCTGAAATAAAAGGGTTCGGTTCCAGACTCAGGCTTGGCAGGCACCAAGGGCTCGAAGATGTCACTGGACACTCCATCTCTCTGTCTCCCTCAATCCTGCTTTCCTGTGTGTAGGTTTCATTCTCAGGCAGAATCTCACCATGTGACAGTAAGGTGTCCCTTACAGTCTCAGGCTCACACAGACCCTGCACCTTCATTTCAGGAGAGAACAAGTCTTAGTCTTGGAGCTGCTCAGGGGGTGGACTCCCACTGGCCCCAGGGTGCATGAGCTTGGGGCACGGGGTGCCCTGATTGGCCACGCAGCTCTTGCACCCACCTGCAGAGCCAGGGGGGAGGTCAGCACTACTGACCCCATGGATGGGGAGCAGTTGGGGTAAGTAGTAGCTGTTACCTAAGGAAGGAAGGGATGCCGGATGTAAAAATGAGAGGAATTGAGGACATTGTTTTATAAAGGAGGAAACAAGCTTGAAGAGGAGAAGTGGCCTACCTAGGGTCACCCAGGGGTTAACTGCCACCTGGGTTCTGGACTGGAAGTCTGAGCGGGTAGGGTAGACAGGAACCCCCAGAGTTTGGTAAGCATGTGCATTGGGGCTCTGAGTGTGGGATGTGGCAGAGGTAGTGGGCAAGTGAGTGGGCACTCTAAAGACTCATTGTAGGGGGGG